ATAACATGTCTCAGCTTATAGCAATCTTTTATCTTTTGTGAAAATAAGTCAAAATATAAATCATTAGAAATAAAATTGGCTCAAAGTTTGAGGTATTTCTAAAAATATGACTATTTTATGTAAATCATTACAACAAGTAGCACATCAATATGAAGAAGATTCTATAATGATCAAAGTGTTCATGATTTAGTTACTTATTGTCGCAATAAATATTCAAAAGTTTCAGCAAGAATATATTGATAAGCCGCCTATATGGTGGTATACTTATGAATGTTTCATTTATAAGTATGCTTAACTGGGCTTTTCGTGAGCAAGAATTCAATGTTATCATAAAAATGGCATTTTTCATTTGCGATCTACATCGATATATTATTTGATTGATCTCATGTCAGTCGGTATTCTTTTCATTACTAATGTAAATCCATCAATGTCATCGACTCCTTTTGCCATTATCAATGATGTCAGCTATTTTACAATGGAAAAAGAAATTTTATTTTCTATGCAGACTATTTTTCGTATTAATGATATAAAACCAAGTGGCACCAACGATCGACTCTGGTACATCCATCTTACACTGACAAATGATAGTGATCAACAACTCAATGATTTAATTGAACGTATTCGAGTAGAAATTCAAGGACCATCAGCATTGTATCGATTAGGTACATTGATGGTAAAACTTGGTAAATTTGTTAAAGCTGAAGAAATATTTGAAACTATGGTGCAAACGCATATCTGATGAATTTGAGAAAGGACATCTCTATTATCAACTTGGACGAATCAAAGATCATCAACAAAACTATAACAAAGCACTTGAATTCTATCAAAATTCACTTACAATATATCTCAAATATTTCTCTTCAGATCATCCTAATGTAGCTACTTGCTATAACAACATTGGTTTACTATATGATAATATAAAGAATTATTCAAAAGCAAAATAGCACTTGAAATCTTTGTTAAAAAACGTCAACCAATTCATCCATTATTGGCTACTTCATATAATAATATTGGTTTAGTATATGCAAACATGAAAAACTATTCGGAAGCAGTTGCTTCGTATAAACGTGCAGTTGAAATTGAACAACAAGCATTACCTGCTCGTCATGCGAGTTTCGAAGTATATAAACAAAATATTGAATCTAGTCGAAAGAAAGGAAAGTAAATGATTATGAATAAAAATGAGAAAAGAGTATTTGCTAAAAGGCTGTTTGCTGATGCAATGATGATGGTGCACTAGATAGAATAGTGGCACCGCTCAATTTCTAGTCAGTTGTAATTAGCTCAGCTTTCTGATCAGAAATGAGCTGTGTTGTAAAAATAACGTTTTTTTTTTTATAGATTTTAAAGGAAGGTTGAGACCTATAATGAAGAGCATTATTAATAACTTCTTTAGTTCTCGGTTTATTATATAAAAAAGTTGAATCTTTTTCAATTTCCGGCTAATCTATTTCAGCTAGGAGTGTATTTCTCTAGATCTATTTGTTGGAACTACTAAATACAATAACATACTTTACTTGGGTGTTGGTGATCGAGAAGAGAAAATCCACATCCATACTCTGAACATCTGTTCGTGTTATGAATGGCACAAGAAACAAGATTAATCTAATACGACACCTTTTGATTGTAATATCTTGTCAGATAGGTAAACATATAATGGTTTTACACGAAACCTATTAGATTCCGAAGTCTTACTAATGTTTCGTTGATCTGTACAATACCTTATAAGGCATGGTGAAATTCCATGAAACCTTATAAATTTCAATTTCTACCTTCTTTTTTTTTTTTCAGTATATGTTTAGAATAATAAACGCTTTGAATGAAAGTAGACAGTAATATACTTTTGTGTTGGGAATAATAAATGTTTCCTGTGAAAACATTGAATAATTAATTTTTAAATATACGTTATATATCCTTACTATTATAAACCTTTGAAGAGTTTATGAAAAATTTTTTAAAGTGCAATGATTGATTATTCTTCGGTTTTTATTTTACTGTGTAGAGTTTAACATTTCATATGACTAAGATACGGCCGTGCAACAATGACTCGTACTTGCTATTAGAGTGCATGTAGTACACATTTCTGTTATATATTTTACAAAAATTTTGAATTAAAACTCAAGACAAAAAGTTTGTTCATCATATTCTTATAATCTGTATTTCACAAGATACTATAATAAAACTCTGTTATTAATTTAGAGAGTAGTCTCCATTTGTTCCGTAGTAGAACTTGTTTCATTAATGACGCACATTGACATTCTTCGTGGTTCCATTTGTGATCCCGTATCAATCTGTCGTTGCAATCTTCGTTGTCTATCACAAAAATAGCAGCAAATTTTACGATAAACAATTGTATATTGAAATTCTTTCCAATACTTTTTGTTCGGATATACATATAAGATAAAACTTAACATTTGTGGAACAAATAATAAAAGTACGAATGATATATGAAGACGAAGTTTACTTTTGTCTGAACATGGTATACATATTTTAAGTAAATGACCTAATATAGCATGTGGAAGAATACAAAAAATAAGACATATTGGTGGAATAAAAAAATCTCGATTAATATATAATTGTTCAAACCATATATGAAAAAATTTATTTTCTAAACCACGATTGAATATTTTTCGACGAGCAATTACCGTAAGAACATATACTGATGAGACAAAATGTATTACACAAGGTATAAGAACATGAGTATAGGAAAAAACAATATCAATGCGACGCCATATTGGATATCGATCAAAATCATAGGTACAAATTTCTTCACCTGTTATATCAGCAGAAATATGACGAAGAAAAATTTCATCTATATTCGAACAGCATACATACACGATAATAATTGTGGATACGATCAATCCATATGTTCGTCGTCCTTGTGTTTGAAAATTCCAACAATCAATAAGGATACGTTCAATAGCAATTGCTGCAGTGAATAAAATAACTCCATCGTTCAAAGCAACAGCTATGAATGGTATGAAATGACAAGCAAATAATTTATATGTTTGATTTTTATAACGAACAATCGTTATTATATAAGTGAAAATAGTAAAAGTAAGTCCTATACCGAATATGGAAAGCAATATTAAATAAATGCCACATACTGTGAGACGAATTTTTTCACGTATGAATGTTATCAATGATAGAATATTGTTAATAAGTCCAATGAATCCGAATAGAAAAAAGCAACCTATGTAAGAGTCTCGTGTTGCTAGAGTATCTTGAAGGATAGCACCAGTAAGTGGAAAACGAACCGCATTATAATTAATCTCACAGAAATTACCTACGAAACAATCACTCGAACATATACAAGTACCATTTAAACTACAATAACCACCATTAAGACATTGAGATACATTGCTATTGTCAAAACACATCAATATACATATAAATATTTCAATTAAATTGAAAGAAAATATAGAATTCTATATATTTATATAATCGAAGAGAAAGTCTTTTCTCTTTTCTTTTTGTGAATTATCCAATGCTTTATTTTTCGATCAAAAATCATTCGTAATTCATGACGTCAATTGAATAATAACAAACTTTAATCTACATTGACTAGAAAGAAGTACGTTGCATTAAACAGCAAATAAATAATAAAAATTTTTATGCTGTACTTTGCTTCAATAAATATTTACCTATGCATTCATGCGAGTATTATAATTTATTTAACATATAATATAGCAAAATATCCATTCTCTAACATCAAATCATGTGTATACTACTTGAATATCATCATTTTTTTTTTCCTTCTTTTTCATATGCTGATATTCAATTGCTCGTATATAATAATGATTTAAATTTTATTATAAAATCAAATTTTTACATCGATTCGTTATACTAGTTGTTGATCAAAAACAACATGATAAACGCAAAACTAAACATACAATGAGACTTTTTTTTTTTCATTGATTAGTATTGATTGAGTTTAGTATTTGTATATAAAGACTTAACAATTATCTAAAATTTATAGACAGTAAACATCATACATTCAAATAATAAAAAATATATGATATTCAGAAGTATATTATTAAGTTGAAAAGGTCGCCAGAAAATTTTTCCTTCTTATTTTTGTAATAACGCAAACGAAATCGAAAACAAATTACTATGAAAAAACAACGTTGTATAAGAAATATGCTGTAAGAAGAGAGAAGAAATCCCATAATGTCGATTAAATGAATCAACGTCTATACATCGACAACGAAAACAGAACGTTTTCAGCAGCTAATTGCCGTATTTTTGTTATTAAGGCCAACCGCATAAGACCGAAGGCAACAATCTAATAGCATCATGGTCCTAAGACAATCACGAGAAAATCTCTTTAAATGTCTCCACGTTCAATTTCAATGTTTGTTTTTGCTCTTAGATACTACACAGTGTTTTAATAAAAGTCTTCAAAGGATTTCGGTTCCAATTCAGATTTGACTAAGTCATCGAATTTTCAATATTTCTATGTTCTAGAAGTCTTTGTAAGATCGCAAGTTTTTGAAAAATTCGTATTTTCGAATTTTGATCTTAAACTTTGCGCATATAGAGAACTTGACTAGACTAGCTTCTCGAAAGTTTGGAGTCTTTAGAAAAAAAAAATTCACATAGCTCCTTAGTCAAATTTCAATAGGAACCACATGGTTTTAGACTTTCTATTAGAATACTATGTAGTATCTATAGGCAAGAAATCGGAGGAAGACTTTTGAAGAGATTTTTTTCCCAGTCAATGATTAAATCTTCAATAAATTTCTAGTTCAACTCACACTGAAGCAAAACAGTGACAGATCTTGACTGTCCATGGATGATCACTCGTGTAATTAAAATTCTTTTCTAACACAATCTTATTTACAACGAACCAGGTGGAAAGATATGATCTACATATGACTATATTCAGTAAAAAAATACGGCCCGTTTAGATGTCGTGCTGACCTGTAATACGGCTTTATACGGTAAATTTACCATGAGAAATAGATAGGCGTATCAATTGACATGAGGATAATCAAAACTATTTATAATCAACATCTCCTATTTCTTTCACAATATGAGTAATAGTTTTTTTTAATATGATTTAGAAGAATTAATAAACAAGTGACCATCGAAATAAGCTGGATCGGATAACCAAATTTGATTATATCAGCTAAAGTTGATAGCTAGTTGTTTTCTATCTTACAGGCCTAGTTTAATGTCTTGAACTGAAATTGATGAGTATCTACATATGATTAGTCACAGTAAAATTTATGTTATTTAATAATAGAACAATCTTAATTTCTTTCACTGTTAGAAAATATTTTCAAAACTCTGGATGTAATATGAATACAAATGTTGGTTTCTGGCTTATTTGATAAGAAATTGTATAGTAATAAGACACATCATATTTTTCTCAAGCATAAAAGAACTATCTATTTAATTATTATCTACGAGTAATTTATTAGAATATCGATTTCAAATATCATATTTCTTTGAATTTTTTATCAAAAGTACATGTTAAATGTTTTCAATTTACAATGAAGGCCTCGATATTGTTAGTTAATAAGATTAGACATATTCGAGTGATATAAAAGCTTTCAGTAGCACTAAATTTTGCACTTTCCTAAGCATCATGGGTCGATATACTCTATTTTACAAGAGTTAAAATTTTAGACTCTATTTTCTCTTGTATTTAAAATATATTTTTTCCCTATGCAATTCCATAAATTCTACTCAAATATCATAAAAAATAACTGCTGAAATTTTGAATTATGAGCATGTGGTATAGATTATAAATATCTTAAAATTCGTCTATATAATTTAGCACGATGAAAACTTTCATTTGACTCAAATATTTCTAGTTTGACTAAACTAATAAACATCTTCATCGTTAGTTATATTTTACAAATCGTGCAATAATATATTCATATACTATATTATTTCGAATAAATTCATCATCTATCAATTGCTGAAATTGACTAGATGTAAAAAAATGCATATAGTCTTAAATTATTCTTTATATAATGTTTTCTTTTTTATTACTGACATAATGTGATTTTTTTAAACAAAAGAAGAAAAAAAAAAAACGAAGAATAATGTATGTGTGTTGTTTTATGTGTAATTTGAGACTGCGCACATAAAGAGTGACAAAAAAAAGAAACAAACAAAACAAACAAAAACGAAAGAGAAGAAAGAAGATGACGATCATCAGCATCAGTAGTACAACAAATAAATATCAAGGAGAAAAAAAGAACACGTGTTAGAGACCAAAAAGTGAGAATAGAGTGTATATAAATGCGTGGTTCAAACTTCAAAAAAACAAATATATGTGAAAATATGATTGATGGAAGATATTGATGCTGATTGTCAAAACAATCTTATATATTGACTGAAGAGAGAAAGAAAAAGAAATGCGATCGACCACATATACACTGTTCACAGATCGACGTTTCTCAAATAAATTCATGATCGAAAAATGAAGAAACTGAATGATTTTTAATATATATAAAAGAAAAAATTCAAGAAGACAAGAGATAGAAACAGGCGCTGTACACTGAACAAGAAAAAAAAATATATATATACGTATAAGATTATTTTTTAGGAGCACGCGCTGATGATGATCGACCTGTATCTGTCCCAATCGGTATTTGTTGTTTGGAATTATTCGATGTTGATTGTTGTGGTTGTATTTGATGGATATCTTTAGAAGTTCGTCGACACACACCTATAATAAATGATTATTCATTATTCTTAATTTTCAAAACGAAAAAAAAAAAAAATAAAGATATAAAAGCATAAAGCAAATCTAGGAAAAGAAAATGAAAGATATGTTTTTAAAAAGCATTGTAGAAGATCAAATGCGTGTTAAGTGATATTTATATGTGCATAGAATATTGAAAGAGAGATCTCATTCACACATTAAGTATTGATAATGACTACCTCTCTCTCTTTCTCTCTAGTACATTTCTTTTTTATTTTATTTTCTAATTATTAATTATTTCATTCTGGATTTGGTTGTTGGTGGTTCAGACTCATCAAAGTCTAAAGAAAATAGAATATATCGATATCAATATATATTTATTCATATCTCTTAAGTTTCTAGATGAATAATTGCAATGGTGACACAGTAGAAGGCATAGGATAGAAAAAAAAAAAAACAATAGTGAAGCAACAGCCGTATTGATTTTATTGATATTTATGCTGGTTTTTTTTATTATTATTTTGAACATGCGGCTCACTGTGCATTATACGGCTAAAGACATTTGAATTTGATGATGTTTTATTGATATGATCATCATTTGCATTTGTTTTTTTAATATTAGCAGTGTGATTTGAAGATGATTTGTACAGATTTTTATGATTATTCTCTTCATAATCAGTATATTTGTTTATCATTTGAACATAATCATCATTCATACTTATCGATTGATCTTGAATTGTTTGATCAATAGTCATTTCGTTACTTTCTATTCTTATTATTTATTATATTATTAGATATATAATACGACAAATAGAAGAAGAAAAAAATTTTTATTTTTTTTTTTTTTTTTTGTAACTCACCTTGATTGTTTGTACTAGTATACATTTGTTGTGGAGCATTACCACTAGCACTATATCCATTAGTTTCAATTTTATTGGCTGAGCCGTCATTAACACTGTTCGTATCAAAGCGTTGACCGCTCTATAGAAAAAAAGTAAATTATTTTTTTTTTTCAAAAATACAATATCATACAAATTTAAGCATATTCCAATCGAATATATAATCATATGTAAAACCTTGTCGATGAAATACATTACGAAATAATTGTCGTAAATATCTGAGAAAAAAAACGAATGTTCTTTCTTTTATTGCTATGATTATACATACGAATAATCTGGTTTATCATCAAAACGTAATGAACGACAATAAGACAAATAAGTTGTAAATTCAACTAAAATGGAATAGACAAAGCGGCGACCCATACGATCCGTTTAAAAATAAATCAATATTTCATACCAGGAAAACCTTTACATAATTCTTCAATTGGTGTTGACATTTTCTTTTCACTTATACGTTCATATTTTTGACGTTTTGTTGCTGCTTTTAAACCTTGCCACTAAAAATTTTTAATTTTAATTAAATTAAAAAAGAAAGAAAGAAAAATTAAACATTTATATTAATTATACCGGAAGACTACCGCGATTAAAATACATAAGTACATAGCCAAGAGATTCCATATCATCTCGACGACTTTGTTCTAATAATACAAAAAAAAAGAAATATTATTTCATTTAATCAATCTTTTCGAGTATATATTATATCACTATAGATTTTATCCAAAATATATTCATAAAGAAAAAAATGATGATATCTCTATATGCTAAGAAAAGCAATATTATTATCTATTAACTTCTATGGAAAAAAACATTGGTCGTCATTACTATATCTGTTATCAGTCTATCGTCATATAGACAGTTATACATGACAATTAGCGTATTATTTTTATCATATAAACAAACCGAAAAGAAAATTTCCTAAACATCTGCATATAATTTATGTTAACATATTTTCGAAAATTTTGTTTTCAATAAAAAAGAAAATAATACAAACCAATGCCAAGATGTGTATTGATTGAAGCATAACGTGCTGTGCCAGTTAAATTCTTATTTTCTCGATAGGGTATATGTTGATGTGTACGTGCATCACGATATTTTTTTGCAAGACCAAAATCAATGATATACACAAGATTGCCTTTACGACCAATACCCATTAAAAAATTGTCTATATCAAATGAAAAATACATAAATATATTTATATATATTTATTATTTACCAGGTTTAATATCTCGATGAATGAAATTTTTCGAATGAATAAAATCAACACGACTGACCTAATATTAAGAAAATATTATTTAAGTAAGAAAAAACAAAATAACAAATTTCTCTCTACATATAAATATCACTGTAATATATTCAACCTTGTGTGATTATTACATTGAATAGTTTATTTAGTTGAACTATCTACTATTTAATAAAATAATTCATTTATCTCTTCTGTTATACTGCGGGGAATCTAGAGAGCGAGAGAATCACCGACCTTTTCTGATTTTTTTTTTCTCATTAGAAAATGTACCGATAAGAATTCTAATGTATGTCAAAGAACATTTTGTAACCATGATTCATCCTCCGTCCTTTCCTAAAAACTTAGATCTATCAGTACTGTTTTGTTATATGACCGGAAATGTAATCATACAAGAAATTCTTAGTCTATGACGTTTTACAAACGTTCTTTTTTTCTATATTATACTTTAAATCCTCGGATAATGATGTCATAATAAAATATTCATTATAGTAAAAAATTCGATGCTAAAAACTCTTAGTAAATCTCAATAGAAATTTTTCATTAACCAATTTTGAATCAATCTATACGAAATATTACATAGCTTTCTTTAATACTATCGAGATGGGAATTGCTTAAATGCATATTCCATATCCCAGCACAGTTCCAATCTATTGATGCATAATATTTATCATTGATCTAAATGATAGTACTATATGATCTGGTGCGAACACAACATATAAATGCATTGTATCAATTTTTTAGAAGTTCAAAAGTTATAATTAAAAACAGGCTCTTTTTCTTTTTTTTAATATTCTCATACCATTTGATCAGCAAGTAAAAGTACGGTTTTAAGTGAAAATTTTCTTGAACAAAAATTAAATAAATCTTCTAAAGATGGTCCAAGTAAATCCATAACAAGTACATTATAATCTCCTTCGGCACCACACCATTTAATAACTGGTATTCCAACACCACCTTGCATAAGACGATAAATTTTAGATTCAATATGTAATTGAGGATGTTTTGTACGTGAACTTTCAAGTTTAATAGCAACTTCTTCATTTGATGCTATATTTGTACCTAAATAAATATCACCAAATGATCCTGAACCAATTTTTCGTCCGAGACGATATTTATGGCCAACACGTAATTCCATTATTGTTTTATTTTAAAGATATTTATAAGAAATAAATAAAAAGAAAAAAAACCAATAATAACAACTAACAAGATATTATTTAATGATAAATATTCATCATTTATAAAATAAGAATTATTAAAGAAACAAAGAAAATAATAACAAATAATAATAATAATCTAAAATAAACAATTCAATTGATGCGTGGGTGCATTGAACCATCATCAAAGTTGCCCTCTTTCGTCTTTACGATTCTACAACAACACATCAGTTGTTGCTTTTTCTTTTCTTTTTATATTAACTAAAAAGAAACCAATCAATAATAAGAAGCGCCACATATTCGTATGACTTTAACAATATGTGGCGCTGGTCGTTTGTTTTATTTATTAGGAACAGAAGAAAAAAAAAAGAAGAACAAGAAAAGAAAAAAAAAAACATCATGACTAGTTTAGTTATAATTGTAAATTTTTAAGGCGTTAGTTTTGTTTTTTGGTTTTATTTTTATTTCTAGCCTAAATAATATGGAATTTGAAGAAATTCGATTAATTATTAGTAAAGCTATTGAGCAGACTAAAAGTCATCAGATTGATTTACTTATGAGATGGCTTGATGGCATACTTTCTAAATATCATGAATCAACTTTAAGTAAGTTTTATATTTACTTTTTTTTTCTTTTCGAAAAACAAAAACAAAAACCGATAAAGATTTGATCAGATATGCACGATAATATTAAGATTTCATCTATGACAAGAAAAAAAAAAAAAATTAACTTCAAATATAATTGTTGTTTATTACGACGTAATATGTTTCTATATATAGTACGAATGAATTATACAAGGCAAATAAAAAAAAAGTCTTTGAAAGAATAAAGATAAGTGGTATTGAATTGTAGAGAGTTTTAAGAATAAATTCGAACAATAGACATAAAAAATTCTAATAGGAAATGAATGTTTTTTTTTGTTTTCGTTGAAATTCTTTTTATATTTATTGTCAAATTATTTTGATTATTTTTTTTTTATAATAGAATCATTTTTAATAACATGACATATCTCATTAATTCTAGGTTCGAGTCCAGCAACAACGAAAATGAGTAATGATCAACGTTTTACATGTCCTTGTGGTCGATCATTTTCAGCAGAGATAACTATTCGTGAAACAACCAATGTAGAAACAAGTTCTCCACCAGGTACACCAATGCTTTCAGTCAAAACTGACTTGAAACATCAACAATATACACATGAATCAATTTCAAAACGACAACGAGGATTAATCATTGATACACCTTCAACAATAACGACAACAACATTAAATTCATCATCATTAATTACATCATGGTCAGCAACAAATATTAAAAACTATGGAAATAGTCCAGGTTAGAATTTATTTTTGATAAAAATTTATATTTTTATTATTTTTTTTTTATTTTAGAAATAATGAATGCTGAATCACATCGTGCTGAAAGTGATATTGAATTATCAAGTGATGAATCGAGATGTTTAGAAGATATCGAAGCTGTTTTATCACCAGATAAAAATACAATATCAAATTTTATTTATTCAAATGATTTATGGACAACACCATCATTGTCTAGTGCTGCTAATAGTACTATAACAAATTCAACAAATAATCATGATGACGATAGACATGAACAGACACAAATGATAACACTTAAACCAGTTAATAGTGAACCATTATCACCATCACCTGCTCTTATGCATGATGGAGATATGGGTAAAACTGTAGCAATTATTCATCGACGTCCAATGCTTGTTGCATTTACAGATCCAAGAGCATGTTCACCAACAGGACCAACTCATTTTAAATGTACTCAATGTCATGAAACATTTGATAGTCTTTTACTTGGTCAAGAACATGCTAATAATGGCATGTGTACATCTGATGCAAATGTTAATGTATGTCATTGTAATATAATATTGTCAAAGATTCTAATCATAATCTATAGCATAAAATATTCATTTAGGTTTTTAAATAGTTAATTAGAACTAGAAGTAATTAGTTAAAATTTGACTTTGTCGTTCATATACACGGAGAATTTTCTTATGAAAATAAGATTGTATAACTATCATTTGATTATTTTAAAAGATTCACAAAAAATAATATTTTGGATAATTTTATATTTTTATTGAAACCTATGAAATTCAAAATGCAAAACACCTTTAATAGTTTATTTACATAGAGAATAATTTGCTTTACAAATGTTTCTATTTACTTCTATATTTGACAAGTGCGTCAGGGTCCAAAAATGTTGAACTTGATCGGCTCTATTTACATAGTAGATTTTAAAACTTTTGTATTTTTGAAATAATTATTTTTTTTTAAAGTCTCTGTCAATTTCTATATAAACTAAGGATTGCGATAATACTTTTTCGTGAGTGAATAAAATGAATTCTCGATTTTGATTTTATTCTAGAAAAACTTGAATATGATATTTGGATGTTCGAATTATAGAAAAAAATATTAAATACATAAGCTTTTTTTTTTTTTGGATACTCGATATTTTCCAAATGTTTTAATATATAATTTTGTTACCTAATTAGTTATAAAATCGAGTATTATAAGTGATATATTCTTTTTATGACATGAGACTTATCTGATCAACTATTTTCACAGTATTTCATGTAAATAAACATATTTTGATGGATATCATATTATGTAAAGAAAAATCTCTTCAGCATACGTTATCCAGATGTTTTTCACGGTGAAGAAGGTTATGAAAAAGTATTGCGTAAATATTTTTGCTCGCAGACAAATATATCCGATACATGTCTTGATGTCGTACATCAACGTTCTAAAAATCTACAATGAGTATCTTTTAAATCTACAATCTTTTTGTGTACTCAAAAAGTGAGTATACTCTAGAATCGGTCAGTGTGTCCGTCCGGCCGTCCGTTTACACGATAACTTTTGAAAGGAGAGTCCAATCACGATGAAATTTTCCACACAGTTCAGTCTTAACAATGTCTCGGTCGAGTTCGAAGATGAGCAGGATCCGTCAAGAAATGGCTGAGTTATCGAAAAAATTGTCATTATTGAGAAGACCATCCCTGAGGGGGGGTACAGGGA